GCATAACCAAGCTATGTAAAAATTACTCAAGACATCTATGGATTTTAATCAATACCCCAATTTATGTCCAGAGAAAATTCTTTTATTCACCCATTTAACTTTCTTATTATCCCCTCATATGTCACTCTGTGTTCCTCTTTTATTTTTTAAAGTAAACTGCAATTGACTTATAGCAAATTCATTTCACAGCCTGTCACCTCTTCCATACTCCACTCCACATCTTCAATTCAGAAAACTTGCAACTACGTTCTAAATTAAATAAAAACCCAACTCTGCACTCTGATTCCTCTTATTAGTACTCAAGCTTACCAAGCCTTTGCTATCAAATAATAGATACCCAAACACAAAGTGAAACCTATTTGTCACAGATATGTGAAACGCAGAGTTGACATTAGTTTCAAACACTCTAGATCCAGAGCCTCAAATCCTCTCATCAATACTCGAAACCTCTCTTCTTTCTTTGTACTGAATTCAGTGCGCTCGAGCTCCTTTCCATTGGTGATCCTCGCACTTCCAGGCTTACATTCTCTAAGCTTGGATTCTATCTGACAGAGATAGAATCAGTTTCAACAGAGGTTTGAACAAAAGATGTCCAATGACTCAACATCCTACCCTAGATTCTTGCTATACTTGAAACGTTCTCTGGTTCTGAGAGAGTGACTAACAGCAGTCTTGTATCAGCATTCCCTGCCTCATATATGTCATGGAGTCAACTGAACCTGATATCCACAGGAAAAGGTGTAAAAACCCAAACCTGCTTCCACTAGAAACCACAGGGTGCATTATTTTCTTATTCTATATGCCAGTGGATTTAAGGTGGGGAAAATAGGCAAATAGAAATCAAACAGCTCTGTTTACAAATCATTCCTGATTTGAGGTAACACAGGGTGTTGTGGGGAAGACCCTGGGCCTTCGTGGAAGCCTTAGCTTTGGGTCCAATGTGAGGATGCTTGGTTCCTGTACTGTCTACTTTCAGTCAATTTGTCACAATCTAGAGTCATCAGTGAGGAGGGAGCATCAATGCCTCCATTAACTCCATCTGTAAGGCATTTCCTTTATTAGTAAACAATAGAGTGAGAGAGGCACCCAGATCATTGTGGTTGGTGCCATCACTGGGCTGGTGGTCCTGGATCTTATAAGAAAGCAGGCTGAGTAAGCCATGTGAAGAAGCCAGTAGCAACACCACTCCAAGGACTCTGCATCAGCTCCTGCCTCCAAGTTGCTGCTGTATTTGAGTTCCTGCCCTTACTGATTTGATGATAAACTGTTACATGGAACTGTTAATGAAATAAACCCTTTCATCCTCAAGTTGCTTTCAGTCATGTTGTTTCATCACACAATAATAAACTAAGTAAGACAATCCCCTTCCTAAATGGCAGCTGATCATTTTGGATTTTGAGTAAATCTTTCAGTTCTTAGTCACAAACTCCATCTCAAAATGAAGTTTCATTCCCCAAAGTGGTTGACTTAGCAAGGGTTGACCTCTGTTTTGGGGAGGCTTGAATTTACCCCAGTGTTTCATTGGCTCTGGCCCCTCTGATATAGGTTCAATGACATATTGAACATCCCAAAGTACACATGGTTATCTAGTGCTTCCAACCCCTGGAGCCTCCTGTTTTAATTAATCTCTTCTCAGTTTCACAGGGGTGCAGTGGTCAAATCAGAATATCAGCATGATGTATGTTTACCTCCCTCACTGGCTTATAAAAAGACCATTTTTAAAAACATGTTCTGTTAATCTGTAGATCCCCTCAATAGAGAATAGAATGAAATAAAACATACTTGACTTCAAAGGATCCTTGGACTCAATTCTGTTTCTGTGTCCCATGAGACTGCCCACAAAGAATAGAACAAAGAAATGTGGCAGGTTTTCATTTCTTTTAGATTTTTGTTCCTCAGATGCTGGTCTGAAGCTGTCCTCAGATAGGATCAGCATCACTGGGACACATACTAGGAAGTACAGAACCTCAGAGACCCCCGATCCTGGGAGAGTCTCTAGCATCCTATGTTTTGCGTCTGTGGCACTGGACCATAGTACATCACAGCCATTAGGATCCAGTGTCTAGCATCAGGATCTTGATTATTAAACGTTTCAGGAGTTTTTCCTTACTATTTTACTGGTGATAAGAGTGGTGACTCTTCCCAACACTGTTATAAACATAATTTAGATAAAGGGGATAGTATAATATTGGTGAGCAGGAAGTAGAAAAGGAGTTACTGGAGGCAGAAAGCTTCTAGCAGATATTGGACTTATTGTAATGAGGAAATGAATGTGGGGGAATATTAAGCAAAACAAAATGTGCATTAAGAAATTACAAGATAATTTATACTCTTGAAGGTCATATTAAAATGTAATATGAAGATGGAGTAGAACACATATGATATTAAAATGGAGATATTCACATTAAGAAACTGTCTTTACATCAGAAAATACTTTTATAAGAAAATTCAGATATTTACATGAAGACTCATAGCAGTAGCAAAATTGCAGTTATGAAGTATTGATGAAAGTAAGTTTTTGATTGGGGGTTATCATAACTTGAGAAACTGTGTTAAATGTTGAAGTATTAGAAAGATTGAGAACCATTGTTATAAGTAGATGGTAGGACACTGTTGCTATCAAATGGTAAGCATAAATAAAGATGTAAAATCACCTTGGGGATTGTATTTATCATGGACACCTTGGGAATGTATTTTCATGGGTCCATTTAGAACAATCAGCAGGGAATATCTTGTCTTTCTGCAGTGCTTCTGTTGATTCTCCTCCAACCTCCCATGAATTGATCTGACAGGAGACCTCAGCCCTCTACCATGTTCCTATAGTTGGGGATGAAGATTGCCATTGATGCCTGTCCTATGCAACTGACAATCAGCACTCCAGATGAACAATAGCACAATATTCAAAATAGATTCTAATGCAGACTGTGTTTATCTTTAGTGTTATTAATGTCACTATCTGATGGGGAATGTACTTCTGTGTATGTTCATTTTATTGATTGTTGAATAAAGTACTGTTTGGCCAATGAGGCAGCAAGTTAGATGGGACTAGGAGTCAAGGAGGATTCTGGGAAATGTAGTAAAGAAGTGGTGATCCAGGCAGGAAGTGACATAGCTGGGAGATTCATATTTAAGCAAGGACAAGCAGGAAGTAGTTCCTTTTCCCCTTTGCTTTCCCTCCTGCTCTCTGCTCTGAGCCACCATGTGATTTCAGGGATGAGGACGCCAGCAAAAGGTGTCCAATAAGATAAGTCTTATAAAATATATAGATTTATGATAATTAAGTTAGAGCTAGCAGATGAGAAATCCTAGTCATTGGCCAAGCAGCATTTGTACCTAATATAAGTCTCTATGTATTATTTTGGCAATCCATATGGTGGCAGAACTCAAGAGGGTGGCAGAAAGATTTATCGTAACACTATCTCCACAAACAGCCCTTGTCAGCACTTCATACAGCGCCACAAGTGCTGAGACTGACCTCAGGTTGCAGGCTTCTAGAAATCATTTCATGTTTCATTTCCAATGCAAATGAGGTTCTGTCCAACACCATCCCCATTTTTTATTGTTTCCTGTCATATTCCAAACTATCATCCAGAAGGACACCTGAGACAGATGGATTAGAGGACCATTTGATTACTGTCTAACGTTCACAAAACATCTCAAATTAGCATTTTCATATAATTGCTTCAATTATAAAATTTTACAAGGAGACATTGCTTTTCTGAGTTAGGGCATTCCCATTAGTTTGGTAAGGAATAATGCTTAAAATGCATCACAGTCCTCAACACAAAGTTGAACTTTTTTTAACATCCTTGAATCCAAAATAAAAAAGGCAATAACTTGTTCTTCCTCTCCTAAGACTTTTAAGTATATACTTTTCCTCCTCTCTTTCTAAGAATGGTTTTGTGTTTACGCTTCTGTGTATATGTGTCTGTGTAATTGTATTCACACACGTATGTGAGTGGTTGCAAAGGCCAGAGAGGGCTTGAGATCACACAAAGCTGGGGGTTTGATGGTTGTAAGGGAATATATGATGGTGCTGGGAACAGAACTCCAGTCCTCAGAAAGGGCAGCAAGTGCTTTTACCTACTTAGCCACCTCTCTAGCCCCACCTCTGTCTCTTTTAAACATTTGTCAGAGTGCCTCCTTTCTTCCACTAATGCCTCAAATAGTTTCTGAGCTTTGTAGGAGGACTCATTTCATTTGGCCTTGAATTTCAGTTTTGCTGTGTATGCTATAATTGTCATTGTTGGCAGTCCTCTTGAGTTCATGTATGATTTGTACAATCATATCTGTAGAATCTTTTTTATTTTGTACTTGTTTAACCCATCCAGTGCTATCAGAGTCACTCAGAGGACAGATCTGTGTTTTACTGATCTTCAGATTTAGTGAAATCCACCTCCCAGACATTTGAGCCCTAAGGAGCTGCACTATTCTTTCTTACTGAACTCACATGAACTTGTCTTTATAAAGCTGTATTGGAAATGTCTATGTCAAAAATTAATTTAATTTAAATTTTAAAAGAGCTCAATATTATCTTCTGTGTATCTTGATATCTTAAAATATGCTGAGTGATGAAATTCACACTTCAGTTTGACTCCCATGAACTTACACAGAGTTCAACTTCTGAGAAATAGTTTTCACCAAAACTTAATAACTCTTAGTCAGATGGAAGTGTCCACAACATTGTCATTATTAGTTTATGTCTCTTATGTCAGAAGTCCTTCCAAGGGCAAGAACGATTATGTTTTTTTCTTCATTTTATATTTACTTTCTTGATCATAGATTAGGGGGTTATCATTTTTTTGTATTAAATCAATGGAAGACATAGCATATTGAATATAAAGTAATCATATTCAACTACACATCAATCTGATGAATGAATGAATATCACAGAGGGATGGATGGGTTCTGTTGTAATTTTTAACTGTAACCGTGATATTAATCTATAAAAAAAATTGTCCCTAGACATTTTGGCTTAAAAATCATTTATTCATACTCACATATCTGTGGTTGAGTTGATCTAGCTGTGTTTAGTTAGAGAGCAATACTTCAAGTGTGGTTCTAGCTGGGCTTGGCTCCTTATTGAATTTGATTCAGTCTGTACTACTTGTGTTGACTCAGAATCTGGCTGACGATACAGCAATTACTGAGGATAGCTTTTTCTGACAGTGATGGCAGAGGTCTCAAGGAGCAAATCTTCCTGCATAAACACATCTGAATCCTGTGCTTCTGTCTATGGGTAGGAGAGAAGAAGACAGAAGACAGACAGGAAAGCACAGTTCCAGAGACTAAACTCAAGGTTGTTGGTAGGAATATACATTGATTTTATGAAGAAAACAGAAAAATCTTCAGGTAAAAAGCATGGGTATAGGCAGGAGTGAAGTGTAGCTGACATTTCAACCCACAATATCAGGATACTTTAATTTAGTCATTATTTATCTAGGATACCTGTGGTTTGTATCCAAAAGAGATAAAGATGGTTTTATATTGAACATACTTGAAAATCTCCTGATTGAGTCCCATTGAATTGTCTCTTTTCTGCAGTGAAAACATAAAATATTTATTTGTGTAAACCAAAGTGTTGCTGTGTTCTCCCCACTGAATGTAAGATATTTATTTACACTTATTTAATTATTCATTATTTATTGTATTACATTAGAATTATATTTATCTAATGTATTTGATAATTTTATTTTATTATTTGTTATTAATGATTTTTAATAAATTATTATTAATTACTACTTATTTCATGAGTAGATTGCTTGGTTTTGTGCCTTATCTTAGGAAGTTAGACTCTCGTGATTTCTGCTAATCATGACCATCACCTCACCTCGGAGCACCAGTGCTTGTCATTTCCCTTCTTCATGATCAAGTCCAATGCCATGAGCAGTTAAGAATTATTTTTGCCTCTATTTTTCAGGGTTTTCAAGTTTACCCTTTTCTGCAGTGCTTCCAAGGTTTAATATTTTGCACCCTCTGCTGGGGAAAAAAACAAAGAAATTTCCAGCAACCATGGAGAAGGAAATGATAGGGAAATGAAATAAAAGCTGTAGATTAGAAGAACTTGGGGGCATAAAATTATTCAATTTGCAACCAGTTATTTTGGAATATGTTCCTGTAACTCTTCTGTCATGAACAAAATAGTGTGATTTTTAAATGAAACTTTAACTTAAAAATACAGTTATTAGGCAGACTGACCTGGAACTAGGTGAGTGAGCTCCTGCCCGCTCCCGACCCCAGGCCAGAACACCCTACCACCCCCGCCTGTGCCTGCCGGCTTGGGCCAGACAAGGCCCC